CAAGGAGCACATGTATGGAGGCAATGGTGTATAGTGGATCCAGTACTTCCTTCACCAAACCTATGGGGATGGTTTAGGAGCGCATCAGGATTGTGGGTAGCCAGATGGACAATACCGTCGCAAGCATCTGAGGCATGTTAAGTCATAATTAAATGTGGATGTACCAAATGTGACTACAAAGGGAACTGCAAATGCTGTGGTGTATTCTACTGCACCGAAACTATGCAACTGCAAAGGAAATTGTAGCAATTAACCCAAATAAAGTATTGTCTTAGGGGTATTAATGCTGAAAATGTAACAAGGATAAATACAACGAATATTTTGTCTTTACTTTATCTTAGAACTGAAACATGAATTGCAGGACTTTCGCAATTTGATAAGAAATAAGATAAGAAATGTCCCATCATGCTTTACACAAGAGACTTCAGATTTTTGAGTGTGCAGCAACAAAGCTTTATAAATTAAAAGACAGATATTGATTTTCTTCAAGTACATATAGTGGATATATAGTGAGATTTTTATGAGAAACATTGCTATTTTAAGCTGTTGCTAGGTCATTGCTAGGCAAATTTAACCATTATTTCAAGCCGTTGCTAGGGAGTTGCTAGGGAAAATGGTCAGGCATAACTGCATCATTTATGCTTAAATACAATTTCTGTATGTTGAGAGATAATGTGGAAGGGATCTAAAAGCATACAAGTGAGCATATTTAATAGGAATATGGTGTGCAAATGTCAAAATGGGCATTGTAACCTGTTGCCATGTTGTTGCTATGCAACATGGTAATGTCACTTCTGTAAATATGTTTGAATTGTTGTATTTTAGGATAAGAATACTTTTTGTAATGGTCTTCTAGCATCCTAGCATTTATTAGTGGATTTATATTGTAAAATATGTCATTTTAGATGGTTGCTATGTGGTTGCTAGGCAAATATATGATTTCACAAAAGATCAAACCCCTCAGATTAGAGCTTATCTTAGGGTCCAACTTTGTGCTAAGTTTGGTTGCTCAACTTCCATTTTCCATTGGTGAATTATAGTGAGATAACGAGTTTGAAATTTGAATTAACTGTTAACATTGTGTTAAAAAGCAGTAATAATGGGTATCCTCTGTAATCTCAATTATTTTTCTAAAAAGGGCTTTAGAAAAAGGGCCCTGTCTCTTAAATGTCTTGAAATACATAGAACAATAAGAAAAAACTCCAAAACAAACTTTAGTATGAAAACGCAAGGTCCCTATGGGGGCCTTGCACCAATTGATTCCACTATAGGTTCGAAAAAAAATTTGTGGCTTGGTTTTAGGTTTAGATGTCCAAAGTTTTTTTAGACCTGAAATTTGGGCTCCCCCGACCCCTCGTTATTTTCAGATACATTCCTGGGCCCCGGCACTACCCTGAATGTCAGAGCTTAGTATATTATGACGCTCTCATTTTAACAAATTAGAATCACAGAATGTTTAGTTAAAATTTTCATTATTGGGGACAAGTTTTAAATCACAACAAAAGTTACTCTTATATTTGTGTAAGTTTTTCTCAACTGTTAACATTTAGACACAATTCACACACCATTTATAGATAGATGATGTAGTGTTGGCAATATTATCTAATACTTGTAACATCTATTTCAATATATCATTGAGTACTTATCATTGGTTGCCATGGTTTTGCTCCTATTGATGTCACTTACTTATAATATACATTGATCTATGTCCTGCACTCTTCAGATTGATATCTAATCATTACACTCTAGATTACAAATCAGTCTATTGCTTGTGTCAGTTTTCTTATTTGACCCCAGATTGATTTCAATTTCTTTCAGCTTTTTTTTCTCACCAACCAGAAAAGCTTACTTAACCTGCTTAACCCTGCATGGTTACCTTTAGGGTTGTGTCAAGGATGATGGTAAATTAGGTCAAAGGTCAAGAACTAGTTCAAGTCATAATTTTTCCAGTTTTCTCTGTCATTCTTTATTTTTTGTCTCGATTAATGGACGCACCATTTATGGAAACATGGGGTCATTATTTTGATTACTCTTACTCATCAAGATATCTTGATCTAAAAACTATGTCAACGTTCTCCAAATTCAACACATGACCTTCTATGGCCTTTTAAAATTTAAAAATCATTATTTTCACTTTAATACTGTATAGATAAAAACAATTTGTTTGAGACAAAATGTGTCAGTTAACTCAGATTTTTTGTCTGAATTTCGAGGAAAGCATTCTTTACGTTAGAGTCAGTCATTATTTTCAAAGATTCTGCATCAGTTTCAAGATGTTAGAATTCCAAAACAGAAATAAACTTGGAAAATCAGATTGAAAAAGGGTTAGATCTGGATTAACAACAGAGATTAGGTTAGGGTTAAAGCTAGGATTACAGTCTAACAATGGTAGAATGTTAGGATCAGATTAGCTTTAGGCTAGGGTTGGAGCCAGGGTTATGGTTAAGATTTAGCTTCTATGACGTTTCAGATTTTGAAAAATAGGTATGATCTCCATGGAGCCAAATAAAGTGAATTGAAAAATACACCAGATACAAATTCGATTCAAATAGAATTACTGATAGCCTATAACCACTGTTCCACAACTAGTTACTTTGACAGAACGTCAGTGTAACAAAATGGATAAACTTCCTGGATACAAGTTTTTGTTTTCTCTTTTTAAACTTACATATAAGTCGTCTTGCGGATTATCATTTGGCACAAAGTTAGACAATACAGTCTAGCTTTTAGAAATGCTCTCGGTTTGGAATTTAATTATTAAATAAAGCTATAATTGAATTCATGCATTTAGACCATTGCTTTTGTTTCATTGATGTAAGTCGTCAAAGTAACATAATATAACAGACTTTTGTCAATGTAACAAAAGCGAGGAGCTAAATATATGAATTGCAACTTCATTTACTAATCAAATTTCAAATCGAAGAAAATTATTAAAATTAGACTATATTTTCTAGATTTGTGCCAAATTATAATCTGCAAATTGACTTAGAAGGAGGTTTAAATCGAGAAAACAAAAATGTTTAACCAAGAAGTACATCCATTTTGTTACATTGATGTTCAGTCAGAATTACCAGTTGTGGAACAGTGATAACAGTAAAAAGGACCTCTAAACTTAATTCAAAATTTGGACACTCAATTACAAAAGTCAAGATATTGGTCTACTCAACCATCCATATTTTATTCTATTATTTTTGCGATCCTCACACTACACCTTAATAGTTTTCTTTGAAGTTTAGTATACAGGCATGACAGGAAGCCGAGAGTATTGCTTATAGTGTTAACCTTTTGCTGCCATGAGATATTTTGACCCAGTTTTTGAGATCCATGTGTAGAAATTAGGTCAAGAAAAAAGTTCTACAAATATAACAATATTGGTATCAAATTGATTGTAAAAGACTGGTGCAGATCTATTACTGCCTCTCTGAAAAAAATTAAATTCACTTGATATTTCTATTTTTAATGCACTCGCTTTGACTGTTACATTTATGTGTTGCATTTATGTGTATACTGGTATCTTGTTGACCTACATTATATTCAGGGCAGTATTGGTGAATGTGTCAGTAATAAGGTCAATAATTAATCATAAACTGTTAATGCTAAATGAGACATCGCTAATTGTCCTGGACAGACATTTTTGGCACAAAGTATCTTTAAAGGCCATAACATTTACGTTTTGGGTTAATAAGTTCTCATCAGCATCACAACTGTATTTACACTTCTCTTAAACATTCAGGTCTCAAGATGATAGACTATGATACACATGGTATGTAGGCATATATTACATCTTGTGTATCAAGAAATAGAAAATGATGTTTCTAGTTATCACTTGAAGGTGTAATTGTGCACCCCTAAGGTGACTACATGGTTCCTAGGTTGTAATGGTAAATGAGAATGCTTTATGATTTGCTCAAAATAGGTTGAACTTTAATTGAACTCAGAAGTTTCTCAGATAGCAGATAAAGTGCCAGGATATTGTGTTTAGAAATGAATTGGCTGTCACACTAGATATAGTTGGACCTAACAAAACTAACAAAAGAATTGACGAACTGAACTATATGCCTTGAAATACCAATTGTTTAACCCTTATCCTTTCACAAAATTTAAAACAATTCATAAGTATTTTAAAGAAACATCTTTCCATTTGATAACCATTATTTTATGGACAGTTTCTATTTATTATCCATTTGTGGTTGGCTATGTGGGCTGAGGGTCTGTTAAAGGTCATGTCATCATTTTTCATTACTATGGAATACCTTTCCCAAATCATTGCTACTGATACCATAGTAAGGTCAAGCTTCCGTGATCACTTTGCTCTTCAAAATTCTGAGTTAGTGTTTCCTTATGTATTTTGTATGGAGTTGTTGAAATGAGGAGGTTCTGTTGTGAGTGAAAACTGCCAACATTGTAGACTCTAAGATTTACTACACAAGCGAAAACATGAGTTCTGCTGTTATATATCATCAAAGTTGGCATAATTTGGCATTTTGCCTTTCTGATACAGCCAACTCTATGTCATGCGCAGAAGGGCCTCAAGATCATAACTGAGATTTATCTGGTGAAAATAACATAATTATAGGGAAGTTATACCATAGTTCCTGAAAATGGTTAATACAGAACAACTTTACGTTAAACTCTATTTTGAAATGCTTATTTGAGGGACATTGTTTGGCTGATATACTAAAACCCTCATGTTATTTTTGAATTTCCTAACATTGTAGCAGTAAAAGTTATCCAAATATCCTAATGTAATTTTCAATCTTTCTATCTACATTAGTTACTCTAATAAAAAACCGGAATCTTCCGGAAACACTGGAAGTATGGCATATTGTTTCAACTTTTTATTTCACCAGTGAGAGTAACAAATGGTTTAACTTTTGTAATTGTAATCAGTATAATGAAACAATTCTTATTAATCAGGCAAATAATGCAGTTCTACAAGGTTTAAAAAGATTTGCCAAAATTAAATATAATCTTCATAACTTGATTTTTTATGATTTCAGGTATGATGACTGCAAAGAACATACCACAGTTACGTTGTGAATTCTATGATACACAAATTTGTGATCCAGCAAAAACTAGCTGTAATGACACTGAGTGGTGTGGCATTCCAGAGTCTGGAAAATCAGCACATTGTTACGTTCTGTGGGAAAATACAACTCATCCAATAATACACAAGAAGGGATGTTGGTTAGATGATAAAGGCTGTTATAACAAGAACAGCGAATGTATAGCTAAAGACTTCAGAAAAAATAACTTTTTATATTGTTGCTGTAATGGAGAATTTTGTAACAAAAATTTCACATTTGTACTTGAAGATGTCAGTACCCCAGCCAGTACCCTTACTACAGGTTAGTATTTTACAAATCTTGCTATTCAGTCATGTCCTGATCCAGTCATCGGATGGATTCTATCTTGTACACGCCTAACCATCGACAACGTACAGTGACAAAATATACCGTTGTACACTTTAAATGTATGGTGTCACTATTCTAACTGATATGAAGCAAAAACGAATATGTGGGTGTGGTGTAGGTTTTAAAAAATAATCTGAGGAATGCTTTTAAAAGGGATTTCATGTTCAATTTCTTGTGTATTCGATTTGGAAGACATTTACCTTTCTAATTCCGTGAAAAGATTTTCGGGCAGTATTCAAGTTGTTTCGTAGTAAATCTACCCACCAACAATAATCAGTTGGAAAATGTTGTATTTTTCTCTATTTTTGTTTACAGTAATTATGCAAACGCTACAAAAATGAACCAATATGCAAACCGCGATTATGGTGTAGCAGGGAGATATATTATATCTCATCTGGGGCATATCTTTATCTGCTTGCTGATGGAAATATAGATGTTTACAAACCTGTTTTATATACCAGAAACTCGTCCCAAGTATATATATTTGGCAACAAGTTGCATGTTGAGCAGTTAGTTTATGTTAAAGTGTTAAAAATAAAAGAAAAGGAATAAAAAAAAATTAGTTTAGCATGGACTAGCATGTCTTCAAATCCTTTATTCCTGTGGATTATTATTACGAGAAGGATTATTGAAATGTTGTTACTATTAATATTGTGTGAGTATAGGTATTGATGATAAAGCCTTTGTTTTATAATGTCAACATGCTCCTTTTAGGGTCAGAAAATAGAACATGTACAAGGCCAGGTGATCAATAAGTAAAATGACAGCTTCTGCTCTATTAACATTTCTGAACCGAACCTCGTGGAATTGTGAGAAAATACTGTACAATAGATATAAAAACCGGGTTTATTTTCTACTTTGATTAAATTGATATGCCAAATATATTATAATTTATAATTTACCTAATTATTTTAGCATTTAATTTTTTATTGAGACTTCAATCTTAATATCTGATAACATAAAATTATAGGTCTTTTTGTGCTGATTTCAGTGGTATTTGTACCATAGCATAACTCCTACAAATTAATTTTCTTGAGCGCTGAGACCAAAAATTCCCAGAAGAATTTCATTTTTCCAAAAAGTGACCAGTCTTCAAGGAGTTAACAGCCCTACTCTCAAATAAAATGTTACTTAGCCTGAACTTATGCATGCACTTTGACTAAATTTTTCATCTGTCAAAATGAAATTTCACCATGAATCGTGTCAAAATATAATTTTACCGGACCCTTGCACTCTTAATGTGGTTCAAACTACTCCTGTCTGCCAAACAGGAGCCACAGACTCCAACAAAATATTTGATTAATTAAATAACAATATGATGAGTTTTTGTTTCCATTTAATCCTTGTAATTTCAGGACAGGTTTGTAAATTAAAAATAGATTATTTGAAAATATGTATTGAAACATGCAATTCACCAACTATTATCTTTCTTGCAGAAGGAATTAATGGACCTGTAAAATATATGGGAGCTGAGACATGGCGTACATTGGTCTATTCGTTGGTGCCAGTAGCTGGGATAGCAATCATTATAGCTTTTGCATTCTGGATGTGGCGGAGACATCGAGCCATGTACCATGAGGCTCTCCCTATGACAGAACCAGAGGACTATCTGCCAGCCGTTGGTCAATCCGAAGCTCTTGCTCCCTTACGTCTTCTTGAAGTGAAAGCTAGAGGGAGGTTTGGGGCTGTATGGAAGGCTCAGCTGAACAATATTCATGTGGCAGTGAAAATATTTCCAATTCAGGATAAACAATCGTGGTATACTGAGACGGATATATTCAACCTCCCTGGGTTCCAGCACCAAAATGTGCTTTCATTCATAGCAGCAGAGCGTCATGGAGATAATCTCAACTCTGAATTGTGGTTAGTCGTAGAGTTCCATGATAAAGGCTCTGTTTATGACCACCTTAAAGCCAACACGATCACATGGACTGAATGTTCGCAGATGGCTGAAACAATGGCAGCAGGTCTAGCCTTCTTACATGAGGATTTACCTGGAAAATCTGCCATAGCCCACAGGGACTTTAAGAGCAAAAATGTCTTGATAAAGAAAGATATGACATGCTGTATAGCTGACTTTGGATTAGCCCTGAAGTTTGAACCTGGAAAAAATCCTGGAGATGTCCATGGTCAGGTAACTATCCAATATCTATATTTGTATGATGAAACTCACTTTCCGATGAATAACATGGGAGAATTTAAATGATATTGGAAGTAAAAGTCCCTCCTTAAAAATTGTATTTACTCAAGGTCATCTCTATATTAAAATCATATTCACCTGGTTCTCCCTATTTTTCTTTTTTTTCTCTGGAGGATTTTAGTTCATCAAAAGCTATCAAATGTTCATTTTTCATTTTTAATGTATTATCAGTATCAATAAATAAATTCTTAACTTTTTACGTAGATGATTATTAGGTACTATGTATGATGGATATAATCAATAGTTACACAATTTTAATCATTCAATATCATGGAGGATCAAACAAAATCTGATACTTTGATTATCATTCCAATAAGAAGTACTAGAAAAGTTATTTGTAGTTCTATATTTTATATGGGTTCAAGTGAGGAAATGAGAAAACGGATGGCTGCTTAAAGGGTGACGCATATCGTTTAGCAAATCGAACGCTCGTTTTTGGTGTTGCTCACCGTTTAGTATAAAAGGCCCGATCCCGGAATAATACTCAAGGGTTCACAGGTTCGAGTTCGTTGTGTCAACACCTCTAACTGTTATATAGCATAAGTATATTATAGATCGTCACACATTTATAAAAGGGTGATTTTTATTTTGACAAATCAATTCCACATTTATGGGTGAAGTTTCAGGATCTTCTATTTGTGTATAATAAGGAAAAATTGGCATCTAAATTTCCCCATAACGTAATAGCACACAGCTTGGCATATGAAATATCCTACAAATGAAACAAAGCAAGACAAATCGGTTTCTAATACAAGGATTTATATTGGCTGTTGTACATGTATTCTTTGAACGCAATCACTCTTTGGATAACGTTTTCAAAATCATTATAAACGGATTACTTTATCTCAAAGACAATTTCAATAAACTGGATTTTACAGAACTCCCCTTATTTCTTAAAAATGGACTGATCCAGTTGATTCGCCTGGAGCCGCCATATTGTTTTTATACGGGATGCTAATCGGAACCCTTTAAAAAGGTTTTATTATTTTCATAATTTTTAGGCCTTTGGTGATATTTTTTTTCCATATGATATGATATCCACTTTTTTAAACCTACATGTTTGACACAATATGTCACTACATCTGGTGATGACAAGCTAAATCTAAGTAGGTCACATTTAACATTTCAGTGGTATAATCTGATAAGTGTTGTAATTCCACAATTGCTGATGAAAATCATACAGATTTCTATCTGACATTTCAGTCATTAAGAGAGATTAAGTCAATTTAGAATTATTTACTCGTATGAATTCAAAGGTAGGCACTTCAAACCTATCAAAATATAATTAATTAATACAGTAGTTAAATTTTTGGTTTCTGATCAAGCTAGTCTTACCTTTGTTTCCAGGGTAGTTTTGAAAATGCAGTTTTAGCAACTAAGAACTAATGAATCAAGATAATGAAGACCAAAACTTACATTTAAAGTCAATATGGACAAATTTGGAGGTGTTATACCTTGATGAACTTGTTTTTATGAACAGGGGTTATGACATCATATTATACAAAGCAACAAGCATGTAACACTAACCTGTATTGCTATCTGAATTAGGATATCTTAGCCCTCCATTATGAACTCCCATAACGTTACCGTATCACTACAAATCATTACCACATTATTGGCAAAATAAAATTCCTTAAGCGGTGGAAGATATTGTTGGATTGTAGCACACACATAAGATATAGGAAAAATGTATCATATTATGGAGTTACTATGTCATCAAAGCTGAATATCAACTACAAAATGGTTTAATTTAATGAAAACTAAAAATATCTAAACAGACACTTTTCATCCTCCATCTTGAATACAAAGGTAACTGATGTTACCTCCTCCTGATACTGACCAATGAGTATAAAAATATATGTTAAAAAATGCATATGTAAATTAACTATACGTTGCAGGTTGGCACAAGGCGCTACATGGCCCCCGAAGTGTTGGAGGGAGCGATCAATTTTAACCGAGATGCATTTTTGCGCATCGACATGTACGCATGCGGGTTGGTGCTTTGGGAGATGTTGAGCAGATGTACTGCAGCAGACAGTAAGTTACATATATAATATTCATTCTGTTATATGTACCATCTATTGCTTGAAATTAGCCTCAGGATATTAACCATCTATGTTACACTAAAGCTATATACTGGATGAGCGTGGTGTAAAAGTGGTTTTGAAAAGTATCAAATTTCTCTTCAGGTAGGTAATTTGTGGTTTATGATTCTACATTGATTCTGAAAATATTGGTGTCTAGTTTTTCAGCGTTTTGGAAAAATTCAGATTTATACCCCCTTGTTTGATTTTGAGGGGGTACTAGGAAAGCCATGTAAAATTCCTAGAATTGACAACCAATCATCTTGATATTTACAGCTAACCATCTACTTATCATGTCCTTCAAGAGTCATAAGTTTCATCAAAGTAAGTCAACTGGTTGCTATGGAAACGGAGATCATATGTCAAAAAGTACACATTTTCGTCAGAATGTAAGACACCCTATGAGACAAAACACATATTATTTTCATAAAATTGGGAAGAAACACCATGAAAACATTCTAGAAAACTTATTCAGAGTATGGTTGATAATATTAAATCAACTGCTGTTTTATCTTATCTACACAGTGAAATCTATTGCTCATGATGCAAATAAATTTAGAAAGGGGACGTGGCACTTTTCCAAAGAATTCTTAATTTGTGTCCAAATTTTGGAAGAAAATAAATAACCAATTGTCCTGATATTCACAGAAATTATTCACATCATTATGTTTGACTATCATGGAAAGTTTCATCAGTGTTGGTTTACTGGTTACTATAGTTTGCAGATTTATACCCCCTTTTTATGATTTTAAGGGGGATACAATGAAAGCGATCTATAATTCCTAGAATATACAGCCAATCATCTTGATATTTACAAGTAACCATCTACATATCATGTCTTACAACCATGACAATTTTCATAAATGTGTAACAATTGGTTGCTATGGTAACATAAATCATTTTTTACAAAAGTACACATTAAGGGAGGTACTATGAAAGCCATATATAATTCCTAGAATATCTAATCAATCATCTTGTTATTGACAGATAATTATCTACTCACCATGTTCTTACACTATGACAAATTTCATAAATGCGGGGCAAATGGTTGCTATGGTAACAGATATCATTTAAAAAGTACACATTAGGGCGTACTATGAAAGTCATATATAATTCCTTAAATATCAAAACAATCATTATGATATTTACAGAAAATCTACTACTTATCATGTCCTACCATTATGACATTATGAGCTGATCTCACTTAGTCATCTTTTATATCATTTTCCTCAAAATCCTCATTAATAGATCTTTCAATGTCTCCTTCTGTCAAAGCAATAGTTGCAATATTTATGTGACTTTATGTCTATGAGATCATCAGGTGGAATGGGTTGATCTGGCCAATTTGGCTCTATTTTGCCATCAACAAGTTGCCACGTCACTTGTAATAAACAAACTAAGAGATATATACAACTATTACACCTAATTAAAAATACTGGAAATTCTTCTTAATGAATTCTAAAAACAACGAAGAGTTGAAAAAACAGCAGACATAATAAAGTTGAGGATAAGAGCATGTATTACTCTGAGTGTAAAACATGTCCGTTGATGACCAGTGATGGCAATAAAATGTTCACTGTTGTGATTGATGAGATGTGATAAGTTTTATGAAATGTTTTCATGCTTATTTCTCCCAAAATGATGAACATATTATGTGCTTAATGTCAAAGATTGCATGAGTCTAAGATTTTTACGAAAATGTGTACTCTTTTAACAAATGATTTCTGTTACCATAGCAACCAAATTACCAACATTGATGGCACTTGTTATACTGGTAGGACAGGTAGACGGATGATTACCCGTAAATATCAAGATGATTGATTGAATATTCTAGGAATTATACATGGCTTTCATAGTACCCTCTTAATGTGCACTTTTTAACAAATTATTTCTGTTACCATAGCAACCAATTGACTAACATTGATGACACTTGTCATACTGGTAGGACATGATAAGCAGGTGTTACCTGTAAATATCAAGATGATTGATTAAATATTCTGGGAATTATACATATTACCCCTTTAATGTGCACTTTTTAACAGATGATTTCTGTTACCATAGCAACCAATCGACCAACATTGATGGCACTTGTCATACTGGTAGGACATGATAAGCAGATGATAACCCATAAATATAAAGATGATTTATTGAATATTCTAGGAATTATGCATAGTACCTCCTTAATGTGTACTTTTTATTAATAAACTATTTTTGTTTCCATATATACCAATTGTTACACATTAATGAGACTTGTCATAGTGGTAGTGCATTAAAAGTAGATGATTACCTGTAAACATCAAGATGATTGGCTGTATATTCTAGGAATTATAGATGGCTTTCATTGTACCCCCCTTAAAATCATACCAATGGGGTATACATCTGAATACCATAGTAACCAGTAATCCAACACTGATCAAATTTTCCATGATAGTCAAATATAATGATATGAATAATATCTGTTAATTTCAGGACAAATGGTTATTTACTTTTTTCAAAAAGTTGAACACAAATAAAGAATTCTTTGGAAAAGTGCCACGTCCCCTTTCTAAATTTACTTGCATTGCCATGTAATCATCAGCAATAGATTCCACTGTGTGGATAAGATAAAACGGCAGTTGATTTAATATTACTCTGAATAAGTTTTCTAAAATGGTTTAATGGTGATTCCTCCCAATTTCATGAAAATAATATGTGGTTTGTCTCATAGGGTATCTTACATTTTGACGAAAATGTGTACTTCTTTAACATATGATCTCCATTTCCATAGCAACCAGTTGATCAACTTTAATAAAACTTGTCATAATGGTAGGACATGATAAGTACATAATTACCTGCACAAAATCAAGATGATTGGCTCTATATTCTAGAAATTATATATGGCTTTCCTAGTACCCCCCTTAAAATTATACCAGGTTGTATAAATCTGCATATTTCCAAAATGCTGAAAAACACCAATGTTTTCAGAATCAATGTAGAATAGTAAACCACAAATAACCTACCTGAAGAGAAATTTGCTACTTTTCAAAACCACTTTTACACCCCGCTCATCCAGTAATATCTATATTGCCTCATGTTGTTAATGAGTCAAGATGTGGCATATATGTATTTAGAGGTCAAGGTCATTTTAAAGGTCAATGTATAGGTTTTCGCAATTTGGAATTTTACATGTCAATTCCAAGTTGTGATTAAGGGGGGTAATATAGGTGTGATTTCCATAATTTTAGTTTATGTCCAGAAAATATATAAAGGTTAATAGTTGATCATTGCCATAATTAGACATCCAGGTCATTAAAAGGGTATTTCATATTTTGAGATTTAATGTTCTTAGACAGTTTAGGAATCATACTATGTCAAGACCACAAGTACAAGCTAGGTTAAAGTATTGCCTTTTGTAGATCACATGTGAAGACCCTTCAAAGTCCAACTTTGTTATCAAAAGTATTAAATTGTCACTTGTTGAGTCCTTGGTCAAATAAGAACAATATAAATGAATTCTTAAATGATTTTTGACTGATATTAATTGCTACATGTAGTTTAATTAAACCTAAATAAATTATGATATTTTTATCTCAATGTCTACATTTGTCCTCTTATCATTTGCAACATAGAATCCTGAACTAAGATAGATAATTCTCCATCTTGACTATAAGGTATGATTTTGGGATAATATCTTTACACTTAGAGGGGCAATATCTTTATACCTTGACCCACCAAACCTTTTGTTATAACTGAGTAATTAATGATTGCTCGATAATATTGGCACATTTCGTGGCTTGATGAAATTCCTTGAAGTCATTTTAGATCATTTTGAGAAAAAAGCTAATGAAATTGTTCATTTCATCCTGATATCTCAACAATCAACCATAAAACTATAGTCTATAACTGAGGCCTAGTTATAATTCTGAGTGAAGTGAAGCACTTGTATGGACATCACTTGTTTACTGCATTTGTAAGACCTTGATATGATTATCTCAGATATGAATAACATATATCTAGATCCTGGCCTTGGTGAAAGTTCCATTTACACGGGTGTTAAAACACGAATATACCATGAGCACATGCTTTGAGGATCCGCGTTGTTTGAACCTACCGCAGAGCACACTTATACATTAAGACCCGTTACACAGTCATGATACCGCCGAGCAAGCTCATTGCATCATCGGGTCTGCTTTACCTCCTTGATTTAGTACATTTAGTACATGTATTTGTACATCCTGGTTAATATCCAAGATGAATTTGACATTGTTGTTATTACTATGTACAGTTGTATTAATAAGTTCACCTTCTTACCCTTTAGAGGCAAAGCTATATTTATTATTAGCATGCCATCCTAGGTTCAAAGATGTCATTATTTGGCTCATCTATTTTATGTCCATGTACAGATGTAGTTTTTTCTGCCATTACCTGGATATTAAACATAAACATAGTATGTATCAAAATAGAAATAGCCCTTTCTTCTTTTTTGTTCTTTTGTTATTTGAAGCCTTATTTCATAAAATTGAAATTTGTATCTTCCACCAATCAGTGGTGATGATCAAGAAGTCATCATACGCCTCATTCATATTCACGAACTCCAGTATTCTACTGCTGTTTGAAGCAAATGTAAGCAAAATGTTGATGCTGGGATGGAAAAATATTTGACTCTCCCCTGGAATGTAGATTTAGCTATGCTATTTTATTTGAACTTATTTGAAATTTGCCTGAGCAGTAATAGGGTAATTTGCAGTTTACATGTTAAGTTCTTACATCTATTTTAACTTTTAGATAAAGAATAATAATTAAGTTGCCAATGGTAAATTAAAAATGAGCAAACAATGTCAAATGTAAGGCCTGAATTCCTTAATTGCTTGGTCAACCTATGAACCGCCCCTTTGAAGAGAGATATGAAGACATGTTATAATCACTATAAAGTGGATTAAAATAGTACTTTTTAACCTTTTTGGGGGGACATAATTTATATGTGTTGAACCAACTCTTTAAGAATAATTGAGTCCCTGGAACTCACCTTTTACTAACTCAACTGAAAACACTTCTATTGTGGTATGTACATGTTCACTTCCATGTTGCTTGAAAGCAAATGAGCATCTCTCCAGCAATAGATATCTGAAAATTCCAGACTAGAGTTTCATATTGCATACAACTACTTGTGTGTTCCTGGCTTGCCAGGATCATTGAGTTTAAGGTTATGTCATCAAAATTAGTAAATGTTTACATATTTCCATCATCAGATTTTTGAAATTAGAAAATCTTTAATTAGTATAAAAGAACAGGTTAATATAAATAAATCATTGCAATATAAGGAACATTCATGTACATGAACACTTTACTCAAAAATGGAAATATCAATTTGTAGTCTGTATCATGTGTAGAACTAATTGTCTATCTATGATCCCTGCAATGATATTGGCTACTCAAGCTTATCAACATGCATATTTATCATATGAATAGAGCTAGTGATTTATTCCCTAAGTCCTTGTATTTATGTTAGTAATAACAAACAGCAGAATGTTGTATTTGTTTTATTATTGTTTTATTATATCTATTTTATTATTTCTGTTTATTTGTTAATTTCTAGGTCAAAATCCTATATATTATATATTAATGTCATATGGGTTAATCAAAATACTAAAAATATTTCTGTCGTTTAAAGTGTATATTTTAAAGAGTGAGTATTATATATTTGTAGCACCAGTTGGAGAATATCAGTTGCCATTTGCAGATGAAATAGGGACCCACCCAACCTTAGAAGACATCCAGGAGTGTGTAGTACAGAAGAAGAGCAGACCCAAACTGAATGAACAATGGTATATGAAACCAGTAAGTATTTGTTATCATTATCCCAACGAATTAGGGGTATAGAGAGGGCTCTGTCCACCGTCTGGGAAATAACTCAAATACTGTTAGACCAATATCTTTTATATTTTACATGTACATGTACAAGTTCTGCTCTAAAGGTCCATTTTCTAATTGGCTGCCATTTAAGTATCAATATACATATATATTGTTCAATAAGTTGTCAATATATAGGTTGATGAAGTTGAAAATCTAAATATTGAAATTACATGGAGCCATCTTGAAAAATGGCGGCCGTTGCATACTATTTTACATTTTTTGCTGTAACTGGAAAACTGGTGGAGCAATTTTGTTGTGATTCGATGTAAATACTCGTAAACATGGCACACTGTCTTATGTCATTTTGAAAATTGCCACCAATTTTACATGTGTTTTTTATTATTACTCCAAAAGGAGTGGAGCAATTTTGTTGAAATTTTATATCTCCCTCATTTGGCTGTAAGTGGCCATTTTGAGAAATGGCTCCCATTTTTATTCATGATATTTGCTTGGCTGGCTGTTCCATGGGATTTGCTATGCCTTGGAGTTGCTGTTATCTAGTGTTAATATTGTTCTTAAAAATGCCATTTCTGGTTATATTTAAGCCATCCTGATTTTCAAGAGTGTGATTTCACAAAGCTTTTATGTCTTGAATCTGAACACTCGGATTCATTGCTCCTATGCTATAGCATGAAGCTGCCTTTTGCCAGTGAATAACATATTAGAATCCTGAACTAAGAAAAACAACAGATGATCTTCTTTACAAATGCTGCAGTAAATATCAATTCATTGCATTTCTTTTGTAAACAACATTTATGCAGAGGCAGCTGTAAAATGTACTTTAGCCTTCCATACCGACTCACTGAGACCAATCCATACAATGTGCACAAGTTAAAACAATGTTATTTTGGTAAACAAGTACATAAATTATGGTATCAAATACCAGTTGACGGATTTGGTTCAAATTTTATAGGCTTGTGCCTAGTGTGTGTAGGACCTATGCCCGAGAAGGATTTGGTTCAAATTTCATGCTGATGCTTTAGGGACATAAAACTCTGCTCAAGTTAAGAAGGAATTTTCATGATTCTCAATTCAAAATTGCTGCCATTTTTAATGAAAAAATGTAATTTTTGATAGGTTAAATACTAGTTATAGAATTTGGTGCAAATTATCTATGCTGTTGAAAAAGGAATTTTCAAAATAACTGCTGCATTCATAATGGCTGCCTTTATTTCTTTTATTTTGATAACTCAAATGCAATGTGTGCTGATGTCTGCCAATGCCTTATTGGCACAAGACTCGGGTGAAGAATAAATGCTGAATTCATAATGGCTGCCTTTATTATCCCACCGAACGAAGTTCGAGGGGGATATAGAAAAGCCGTCCGTCCGTTTGTTCGTCCGTCCGTTCGTCCGTCCGTTCGTGTGTCCGGGCAATAACTCAAATACCGGTTGACGGATTTCATTCAAATTTTATAGGCTTATGCCTTATGGGTGTAGGACCTCTGCTCGAGAAGGAATTTTCAATATGGCCGCTTAATTCAAAATGGCGGCCATTTTTCGGAAAAAATATGATCTTTAATAACTCAAATACTAGTGGATGGATTTGGTTCAAATTTTATATGCTGTTGCCTGGGTACAAAGGAGCCTTGCTCAAGAAGACATTTTCAAGATTGCCACCAAATTTCAAAATGGCGGCCATTTTTCGTAAAAATCCGTTATCTTTGATAACTCAAATACCATTGAATGGATTTGGTTCAAATTTTAGATGCTGATGCCTAGGGACATAGGAGCTCTGCTTGAGAAAGGATTTTCAAGATGGCAGTTAAATTTCAAAATGGCGGCCATTTTTTGTAAAATAACATTATCTTTGATAACTCAATTACCATAGAATGGATTTAGTTCAAATTTTACATAATGATGCCTAGGAACATAGGAGCTCTGCTCGAGAAGGGATTTTCAAGGTGGTAGCTAAATTTCAAAATGGCCGCCATTTTTCATAAAAGAAGGTAACCTTTGATAACTCAAATACCAGTTGACGGATTTGGTTCAAATTCTTTATGCTGATGCCTAGAGACAAAGAAGTTCTGCTCAAAAATAAATTTTCAAGATGGCCCTTGAATTTTAAAATGGCCGCCATTTTTCGTAAAAAAATGTAATTAATGATAACTCAAATACCAGTGGATGGATTTGGTTCCAATTTTATATGCTGATGTTTAGGGAAAAAGGAGATCTGCTTCAGAAGAAATTTTAAAGGCTTTAGCTGAATTTCAAAATGGCTGCCATTTTTCATTAAAAAAGTAATCTTTGATAACCCAAATACCATTGGACTGACATTCTCTGCTAAAGAAGAAATCTAAAGATGACAGCTGAATTTCAAAATGGCAACCATGTTTCATAAAAACATAATCTTTGATAATTCAAATACCAGTGGATGAATTTGGCTCAAATTTTTTATCAAAACATGTTTTGTTCGGTGGGATTTGCTACTCCGTGGAGTTGCTGTTTTTCTAGTTTCTTTTATTTTGATAACTCAAACGCAATGTGTGCTGATGTCTGCCAATGTCTTATTGGCACAAGACTCGGGTGAAGAATAACTGCTGAATTCATAATGGCTGCCTTTATTTCTTTTATTTTGATAACTCAAATGCAATGTGTGCTGATGTCTGCCAATGCCTTACTGGCACAAGACTCGGGTGAAGAATAAATGCTGAATTCAAATTGACTGTCATTTTTCAGGAAAATTATGAAATACCAGTAACCAGGTAACCATTAGTATAGTCCAAATTTAATACTCTTGTGTTTTATGGTCATAAGACCTCTGGTCAAGAAAGAATTTAATAATGGCATCAAGTCACATCATGGGTGTAGATTTTGCCTAAATGAGACAATTCTATCAATGTAATGTCCAAAATGACGAGGTATTCAATCTTATATGTTTTGTTCGGTTGGATTCGTTACTCCGTGGAGTTGCAGTTTTTGATTCCACCCTATAAAATGTCAAAATGCACTGAGGATGATTTTTGTAAGAGAATTCATTACAAAACTGCAGGATGTAATTTTGGGGACATTTTTTATGAATTTGTGAATAGGTACTGTTTTTGAGCAATGCTGATTTTTACAGGTTTTCACATCTCTAACAGGGATCCTTCACGAAGCAGTGGCCCTCCTCAAAAATCTATTCCACGTAATGATAATTTATTAACCCAGATATTAACATGTCTAGTGTTGTATGCTTGCAGGCTCTAGCAGCTCTTTGTGACACCATAGAGGACTGCTGGGATCATGATGCCGAGGCTCGCCTAACAGCACGTTGTGTAGAAGAACGATTAAGTCAACTCACTAAGACAATGTCTACCTCATCATGTAACCCTCCACCAGTAATTCGGTCATCAAGTAGTCAGTCTTTAATTGAGAAGGAGGACGAATTAAGCATTACAGTATAGAGATACTCTATTTTATACATGACCGCATCTTATAGCTATTCTGAAGACGTCCTCACATACTCACAACATGGAGAATCATAAGAATTTCAAGGCTAATAATCAAAACCTGAATTGCTGACCAGTTGTCATGTTGTGTTCCTACATATGCTACATGTTGATCAGCTTGTTAATAGTAAAATCACTGGGCTTTGTCCAGTGGTCAGAACTTATGCCATATCCTGACTTACATCCATGTCAGGACGGACATTTGGCTACATAAAAAAGACATTCACATGCTGTACATGTGTTAAATATGAGAAAGTGGTAAAGTATTGAAACTTAAAACTCCAGGTTGAGATAAGCTAATATTGAGCCACCCTGTTCAGGTGACATTCATTGTCACTTCTCACCAGTACTCTACCTTTGAGAATTGTGACATTGTATGCTGATTAAATGAGGAACATTGTCTATATGCTTGAAGTAGACACTCGAAGTGAAGCAAGTATTCTTGGATACTAAATGACACAACAAACTAAAAAATGAGGAAAATGCTGCATAAGGTTCAAATGAACACATTAAATGGAGGGCTTTAGTGAGCTTAATGACTTTCAGAGAATGTTCTTTGTAAACTGGAATTAGATACACGACAAGGTTAAAGTGTTGCATAAACTTGGTATAGACCACCACATGATGAAAGAGCTATGGAAGCTTGTCCAAGGACATGCTAAATGATGAAGTGCTAAATTTGCCTGAATTGGAGACTCTGAATAATGAAAGAACATGTACTCCATAAGCCTGAAACGGATGCACTAAATAATGAAAGTGCCTGAAATGGACACTTTAAATAATGAAAATGCTCTACAAGCCTGGAATCGACACCCTAATGAAAGTGCTACATACGCCTGAAATGGGAACCCATAATGAAAGTGCCCGAAATGGGCGCCCCAAGTAATGAACAAGCCTGAGATGGATACAATAGGTGATGAATGCCTGAAATGAACTATGTTCTCTGTAATCTTGAAATGAATGCTGAATTTAGAGCTTAGTACAGCACATATTCATAATATAGGAGCCTCTGAATGTTATACCTCTGATACATTTCACTATTTTGCATCATCAAGCTGCCTATGTAAGGTTTATGTTAAGGATATGAAACCATGTGCCTGGAAAGCAAGGGAGAACAGGAAATGATAGAAATGTGATGAACATTGTAAAATGACTGAATGTGAAAAATCAGAAGTTTCGCAATTCAGTTATGTAAATGATAAGGATAGAATGATGAACCAAACATGAAGTGGGGTGGTGCCCAAACTATTGTTGCTCTGGAGTGTTCTGGAGAAGCAGCCCCTCGAGTATTGTGTAAAAAGTGTACATAAAAAAACTTATAAGATCAGTGAACCTTTATCTTACAGGTACATGTATCCTACATGTTTGCTATATAATATACAGGAGACAAGTATTTAGCATTAAGTTATTATTTTATTATGTCATCTATGGAAAACTGCTACTGCACCAAAGTCCTTGATTGAGAAAGAGAATAGCTTAGTCTATGGACTCAATACAATTGCCTTTCAGTTAGTGAGATATCAAACAATGAACCTCAATTGAATTTAATGGATGAACTAGCATCGTGTCTAGTTTTTGATACAGTTATAACGATGGTAGGGTTGTGTGAGTATGACTTTACACCTGTAGCAGGCCCGTAGCCAGGATTTGCCAAGGGGGGGTTCAATTTTCAAAAATTTCCAGGGGGGGGTTCACATTTGACAATTTTGGCCCAAATTAGGTTAAAATCACTAGAGAAGTGCTCAAAATGGTCAAAAACTGCATGATTTTGAAAGAATTTTTGGCCTGGGGGGGTTCGTCCTAACCCTGCGAACCCCCCCCCCCCCCTGGCTACGGCCCTGTGTAAGAGTTCTACCCATAATGGCTTCCATATTGTCATATTCTTTCAACGTTATACATTTGAAAGTATTCAACTGCTTGAATTGCTTTCAATTGTTTGAACCTATCTTGGTTAGAACTGTTTCAAAGAGTGTTTTTAAGTTGTGTAACTTCTTATGCTGTACATATATATAAATATTCAAATCCACATCTGTATAGTTGTTTGATCCTTAAACTTTTTCCGCTGAAGTTTCTGCTCCAAGCAAAACTGACAAAAATCTCTTCCCATATCATTTTCTCAGTTGTTGATGTCATCCAAAGAATAATAATTAGCAAAGTTGCATGGTAGAGCAGCTGTATTCTTTCATTTTTTCCAAACAATTTCTTGATGATTTATAAAGTTTTCTGAATTTATCATCGCAATAAACGAACGGTTCAACCTGATCCTGTGTAATAAGTGAAAATCTTTCAACTTTATAGCTGTGGAACTTGATAACATATACTACAATGGGTTACTTTACATTATCTACATGCTTACATCATTAGGATTTAGTTCTAGATTTGAATTCAGGGTAAAATGTAAGTGTGGTACGGTGCAAAGAAAATGAGTATAGAGAATGGCATGATTTGCAGCTGTTGCAGATTGCTTATTTTAACTGTAAACCTGAATTACCCTTAAATATCAGGATAATCTGTAATCTGATTATTTAACAATTTCATCACAATATGTACAAGTACTAATCTTGTGAGACGTCTACGCAATATATGCTGTTTACAGTCTTAAGTTGACCATTTGAATAATATATTATGTAATTTCTGTGACCTGATGCGACATGTTATTTAGATAACCTTCAAACTGAACCTTTTACCATCTGTATTTATCGGACTCTTGATAATTCACCTACACTCTCTTTTCCATAAAGGATACTTGTCTCCCTCAGGAAGATTTTTGGTTGTGGTTTCATTGGAAATCAAATTTTGCTCATTTTATTATGTCCCCACCATATAGTGTGGGGCCATATTGTCCACCAAGGCACCTATGTCGATCCATCCATCTGGCCTGTCCATTCAACAGTTCTCTCCAAAACAGCTACAGATGTCACCTTCAAATAACTTCAGAAATTACTTTTGGGTACATACAGTTAATTTTAGAGATTATTCTTGAACTAATTAGTTTTTATTAGATCTTCAGTTCTAAAATCTTGTCTGTAAAGTCTTGTCTACTTGTTTGGCGAAGTGTTTGATGGATTTTTTCAAATTTTCAGGAATGATTCTTTGTAGGTAAATTTCAAACTGATTAGTTTTTGGGGATTCTGGGTAAAGATGGCCATTTTGGATTTTTCATCCTAAAATCTTGTCTCTTCAACCGATTAATGTTGGGCATTCAGGATGAAAAAGTTTTATAGGATTACCCATTGATGGGGACATTTTGTACACATTTGTGTCCTTGTTGAAGTGGCTATTACATTTTTAATTTGATTAAATTCTCATGTAGTATAGTGTATATCTAGAGAACAAGATAAAAAACCTTGGTTGAAACAAAACTCAAGTGAATAAAACCATATCTGTCTTGGATATTTTTTTGTAATACGCATATGAACATCAACAAGCGGAGATCCATGTGATTTTTTATTTAGCATTATATTTATTTCATGTTCTATTTCTTTGGTTTGATAACAATTATGTACATACATGAAACCACCCGGTGTTAGCATAACAGTATAATGAAACTGAAGTAAATAATTATGTAAGCATGATCAAGATTGTATAAAGTGTGAATGGTGTTATCATATAAAAACAATGTATATATTTACCTCATGCAGCTCTAACAAATTATAAACGTTATATTTTTGGAGAGAGTAATTTTACGAACTGCATTATTTCACCTATCAAATCCTGATTTTATATTGGGAGAATACCTGAATTTTATCGCACTTAAAAGTGCTATATGTTGTCTTGGTCAGATGGGCTGATATATGAATTAGTCCTAGCTGAGTGATAGCATCAAAATGGTTTGGTCATTTAGATTTGAATTTCACAGATGTAAGAGAAGTTAAGGGTCAGGCCTTGTTTGGTAAGATGTTGGGCATTGTGGGTAAATTACGAGGCAGCCATTATCTGTTGAGTCAGCACAAAGTTGTTCTTTTTTCAAATTTTCAGGAATGTTTCTTTGAACCAGTTCTTCCAAGTTCTTGTCACTGCAATTCAAGGTAACAAGGTAACAAGGTAAACAAAAGGAATTAGTACAAAAAGATATTTACTGTTTGCATATGAAAATGTAGACATGATTTTTAGTAATGGTATATAATAAATATTTTGTCAACCAATGATCGTGATTCTACGCAAACGATTCAAGGGATGCATTTTAAATCTAGCGGGTTGCTTCTCTATAATCTTGATCTGACTGACTCTTCATGTTCAAATTGATGAGTGATTTGATGAAATATGCTTTGTTCTGTGAGATTTGCTACTGCTTTTTCTAGTTGTGTAAGCATATAAGGTGAGAATAGCACACCATACTTTATGCTTTTAAATGAATTTTATCCTCCTGATTGTTCTAACAATGAATTCTAGATTCTTTGTTTACCAATTAAAACCTTTATATACAGTAAACATGTAATAAAGTAACCAAAATAGGATTGGATGCTACCATTTGAAAGCTGCAAATTCTTCCTTGCACATTGTCTTTTGAATTGTCTTCCGGTTTATTACTTTAACTTTTTAATTTTCAAAAAGATGCTATTTCTTGTCAAAGTTCTGGATCTTTTAATTATTTTAACTTGTTTGTAAGTGCAATAAGGGTTACATACTAATATAGATGATATAACCTGACACATGAGACAATATCATGGCATGTAAACATATATCAACTGATCTGTTCACAATAACATTGTTGAACTTTTAACCTCAATTAATACCAGTCCATGTATGTACAAGTGTTGTAAATAGTGTATGGACCGCTATGTGTCATCCCTCAATGTTATGAACATAAGAATATGATATAGACAGTAATGTTTCAGTTTGCATCAACTTTAGCTTATCCGACATTTGAGAACCTCATGAAGTATAATTATCCCAACGAACAAAGTTCGTTAGGGATATAGTGAAGCCCTCCGTCCGTCCGTCTGTCCGTCAGTCTGTCAGTCCGTCAGTCCGTCCGTCTGTCCGGAAGATAACTCAAATACTAGTTGACAGATTTTCTTCATATTTAGTGGAAAGATGTATATTGGTGAATAGTTTTACGCAAAAAAAAAAATTTCAAGATGGCTGCCGCTTTAAAAA